TGCACCCTTGTATAAGCTTAGAAAAAAACCAAGTGCGTGTTTAGTTTAAGCCAAAGGGAAAAATGTTGCTCTTTATAGCTACAATGTTGTTCGTGTGAATCAAATTATTAAGAAAAAAATATGAAAAACTGCATTTTGGTTTGGGTCAGAATTATAATTCTATTTTAAATAAGGGCAATTTTAAAGCAAGGGGATAAATAGAAAAACGAATGCTTATTTGTTGTCATGAACAACAAGTAAAGGGCGAGTTCTGTGTTTTATATACTTTGTACATTTGGCAACTTCTAACCATTTAATAGTTGAGAGTGAATTGACAATAATATTATAAATCTATAATAAATATTATTTTTAGCTCACTCCTAATTATCAAATTGATATCAAGACAAGTGTGAATATAAATTATGTGAATAAGGGTTGGTTATAGATAGCATTAAAAGAGTCGGCCATTTCCTTCAATAACTTTGCCCTTTTTTTTGGGTCTTACAATCAAAAGGGGAGGGCAAATATGTATATGACCAAAATAACATGGACCATTAGACGTGCTTGGAAGGTGACTTTATTAAGACGTTTGCCCGATTGGAAGGTGACCTTATCAAGACGTTTGCTCTACTTTGGAGGCATGAATGATGTGAAAGCAACAAAATGGTTCTCATTTTGAATACTTGTTGGTCAACCTTTATGATATGGAAAATTGTTTCATATGGGCTGGACCATGACCACATATACGGTGTAAACCATCCCTGTTAAATAGGATGCAAGCAGGTGCTTATTTCAAAAAAATGGAAATTAAAGGTTTAAATGTTTTTTTACTAAAATTATTATTTTTAATTTATTTATTTTTCATATTCATGAGCTCCATATTGAGGCTAAATTAAGCCCAAAAATCCATCTCAAAAATAGATTTATTAAGATGCATGTATTTCTACATTTAGAGGCTTCGCGCATAGAAACCGGCTCTTTATGATATTATATTAGATAGTGCTTGACTTTAAAGGTCTATTTGGAGATAATTAATTCTTTTAAGAAAATTATTTGATACCGCCTCATGATTCTTCAAAAATTGTGATTCTATTAGTATACTTTAAATCAATGTTTCAAAACCCATAATGGTAGGGCAGATTGTTCACCCTCTTATATGTGTCTGATTGTTGGATCGACGAT